TTATTTCCTATATATACCCAGGTTAATGATATATTTATTTTGCTTTGGTGCTGCAGATTGAACCCAGGATCTCAAACATGATAGGCACCTGGTCTACCACTGTGCTACATTCCAAGCCTGTTTGCTTGTTTGTTAACTCGGTAATAAAATATGGGGAAAATAGCTGGGCGTGGTGACACACACCTGTAATCCCAGCACTCGGGAGGCTGAGGCAGGAGGATTGTTGCGAGTTCAAGGCCCACCTGGGCTACAAAGTGAGCTCAAGGCCAGCCTGAACTGTATAGGGAGACCCTGTCTCAAAAACAGAAAAAAAAAAGGGGGGGGGGAATAACAGCTAAATGTACTTGGTTATAGGATTAGTTAAATAAATTGTGGATTGAATCCAATTCTGGGTTGGCTTTGTGGGCGTGTGAGCTGGGCAGTCACAGGGTGATCCATGCTCAAAAGGACCACTGACCCTTCTGTTGTCGTCTTGGTGTGTGTGTGAGTGTGTGTGTTACACTAGAGATGGAATCCAGAGCCTCACACGTATTAGGCAAGTATTCTACCACTGAATAACTTTCCTTCTTTTTATTTTATTTTTTGAGACAGGGTCCCACTAAGCTGCCCACACTGGCCCTGAACTAAAGATCTGCCTATCTCAGCCTCTCGAGTAGCTGGGATTGTAGGTATGTACCACCATGCCTGGCTTTGAAACTCTTTTTTGCTGTTTCTGTTTGCGTTCGGAGGCAGGGCCTTGCTTTGTAATTCAGGCTGGCCTTAAACTAACTACGTAGCCCACGCTGGCCTCACACGTGCTGCAATTTCCCGCCTCGGCTTCCTGAGTGCTGGGATTACAGGCATGTGCCACCATGTCCAGCTTGAAACTCTTAGTCATTTTACTTCCTAGGTTTTGTAAGTGAACTCTGACGGGACAAGGACACCGCCTGAGCGGAGGAGCTATGCGGTTACACGCCACCTTTCCATGCCGCCCTTCCGCAGACTGTGATTCACGGTGCGCTGTAGGACTTGTGAGTGTGGGAGTCTGGCCACACTTTAAGGGAGTAGAAGGCTGGTGTGCTGCATGTGTGACTGAGGAAGCCGAGCTCTGAGAGCTCATGTTCCTGTTCAAACCGAACTTGCCTTGGGCGAAGAAAGAAGACAGTGGCCGTGTGAGAGCCGTGGAGGAATAAGGCCTTTCTTATT